AGGCAGAGTGGCACATGGCAGAGAGCTACAGCTCAGGGTGGCAGAACACAGCAAAGCAACAAACACGCACCAGGGCGGAATAGGGGAGGAATGGCCTCAAGCAGCTTCTTCCTCTCCCTTACATATGCAAACTATCCACCCCAGGATGGGTGTAGCTCTCACACCCATCAAACTCTAAAAGCCTGCCCCATAGCCACTTGAGGCTTTGGGGGGACACACAGATTCAAACCATAACAGGAGACTAAGAAAACAATACAAAGAATAAATGAACAGTTGGTTCTTTGAATAATAAAGTTAATAACCTTTAGCCAACCTTATATAAAAAAAGAAAGAAAAGACTCAAATCCATGCAGTTAGGCATGAAATGGGTGAAATCACAACAGATCCTGCAGAAATCCAGATTATCAATATCTATATTGAGAATCTGCATTTTTATAGTATGGAAAATGCAGAAAAAATGGACAGATCTCTAGATACATATGAATTACCAAAGCTGAATCAAGAAGATATAAAAATTCTAACTAACCCAGTTAACACTCAATGAAATTGAAGATATAATTAAAACCTAAGAACAAACAACACCTCAGATCCTGCTGAATTCTACAAAAAGTTTAGAGAAGATCTAATGCTTTAATGAAATTTAAAGGGAAAAAATACTCTCAAATTCATTCCTGGAAGCAAGCATTACCCTGACACTAAAATGAGAAAAGGATACAATCAAAGAAGGCAATCTCCCTAGTGAACATAGATCCAAATATCCTCAGTAGCACACTGGCAAACAGAATTCAGCAAATCATCAAGATTATATATCATGGCCAAGTGCGGTTCATGCCAGGGATGTACGAATGGTTCAATATATGCAAAACTATCAATATAATATACCATGTTAACAGAACTAAGGACAAAAATCATATGATTATCTCAATAGATACAGAAAAAACATTTGACGAAGTCCAACACTTACCCATGATAAAAACTCTACAGAAAATTGGAAGACATGGTTTTTATCTCACTCTGATAAAAGACATCTATGATATATCAACAGCCAACAACAAATGAACAAAAGTTGAAAGCTTGCACTCTAAAATCAGGAACAGAATAAAGATGTCCACTGTTATGACTCTTACTCAAAATAGTTCTGCAAACATTAGAGCCATTAAACAAGAGAAAGAAATAAAAGGAATAAGGATGGGAAAGGAAAAAGTCAAATTATCATTATTTGCAGATCACATGATACTTTACATAGAAGGTCCCAAAAACTCTACCAAAAGACTTCTAGATTTAGTGGCACAAAATTTAGCAGTGTAGCTGGATACAAAGCCAACACTCATAATTTAAAAGCCTTTCTTTACACAAATAACAAACTCACTGGGAGAGAAATTAGTGAAACAACACCTTTCACAATAGCATCCAGAACAATGTAATACCTAAGTATCAATCTAATGAAGAAAATAAAAGAATTCTACATTGAAAACTGTGAAAACTCTCAAAAAGGAGATTGAAGAAGGTACCAGACAATATTGCATGTCTCTATCTCTTTTCATGAGAAACCACTTTGAAGATATCAGTATGTAATACAACAAGCATTGTTAATTTCCTACCACTTTGTAACTGTATTGTCTGTACTGTTCTTTTGCTATTTTGTAAAAGGTCGTCTGTCTGTTAATATTTTCCTCCTTTTATTTTTAAAATTAAAAAAAGAAGAAGAAGAAGGTATCAGAAAATGGAAAGATACCCCTTGTTGTTTGGTAGGAAGAATCAACACAGTGAAAATTAGCATATTGTTAAAGTTGTTACACAGATTTAATGCAATCCCAATCAAAATTTCAAAAGCATATCTCACTGAATTAGAGAACACAATCTTAAAATTTATTTGGAATCAGAAGAGACCTACAATACCAAAGGCAAATCAAGGCAACCAAGGCAAGGAAGGGAGCATCACAATCTCTGACATGAAACTGTATTACAAAGCTACAGTGATAAAAACAGCATGGTATTTGCAAACAAAAAAAAAAACCAGACCTGTGGATCAATAGAATAGATTACACGATGCAGATAAAATTCGAGACATACTCAGCCACCTGATCTTTGACAAAGGATGCAAACATGTTCACTAGAAGACAGTTTTTTTAATAAATGGTGCTGGAAAAAAAAGGGCTTTCCATACACTGAAGATTAAAACCAGACCAATATGTTTCACTGAACTAAAATTCAAATTGATAAAAAATCTAAATATTAAAATAGAAACAATAAATCTGCTGGAAGAGAGAATAGGTAGAACATTTGAAGACACTGGTGTAGGCAAAGACTTTATGAACAAAACCCCAATCACACAGGAACTTGCACGAAGAATCAAAAAATGCCCAGTAAGAGAAACCACCAAAAGTGTAAAGAAACATACCACAGTGTGAGAAAAAATATTTTGCCAGTTATTCCTCAGCAAAAGGACTACTATCTAGAATATATAAAGAACTCAAAAAAATCAGATTCACAAATTTAAAGACCCAATCTAAAAATGGGCACCTGAAAGGAATAGATACTTCTCAGGTGAAGGATTAAAAATGGAAAATAAATATATGAAAAAATATTGAACATAACTGGTCATTCAAGAGATGTAAACTGAAACAATGCTGAGATTCCTTCTCACTCCAGAAAGAACTGCTATTATCAAGAAGTCAACCAATAACAAAAGATAGCGGGGCTGTGGGCAAAAAAGAACCCTTTTTCACTCTTGGTGGGAGTATGGGCTGGTACAAGCACTGCAGAAATCAGTGTGGAGAATCCTCAAACAAACAGAACTACAGTTCCCGTTGGACCCAGGTATTCCACTTGTTGGTATTTTCCCTAAAGAATTAAAAGCATCATACCATAGTGATATATGCACATCCATGTTTATGGCAGCACAGTTTGTAATAGCTAAATCTTGGAAACAACCCAAATGGCCATTTACTGATGAATGGGAAAAAAGAGAAAGATGTGTTTTTTTAATATGCAATGGAGTACTATTCCACCATAAGGAAGGATAATCTTGAGACATTTTTGGTAAATGGATGCACCTTGAGACAATACTCTTAAGTAAAATAAATCAGACACGTATGTGTAAATACTACATTTTTTCTTTGGTATGAGAAATTGAGAGTGTAAATAAGGATAAACATGTATAATAGATATTGTGAAATAGGAAGAAAATGTTCAAATGGAAAGGGAATTAGGGAGGGATGAGGGGGAAGCATGGAGGGGAAAAAATGAGAAAAGAAAGAAAAATGAAAAATAAGCTTTTTTAAATAGGGAGGGGAGGTAGGGTTAAAGGGAGGGTAACGGAATGGGGAAAAAAATCAAGATATATGACATAGAGATATAAATTCCCTATGATGGATATGATCATTATGTATATCTAAAACATACCAATAAACATGATTAATTAAAAATAAATAAAATTATTTCTTGACTCTTTCACACATTTATTGACCCCTCTACTCATATCTATCAAAAATACTTAGTATTTTAGGATGTCTTCTCTTTTTCAAAAAGTGTAACTGCACTAAGATTCACTTCCTTTAATTTATGTTATTGATTTGAAGCTCCATTATAGGACATAAGGTGACAATTTAGAAACATACTAATGACTTAACTTTGAATTTTCTTTATGGCCTGCTAAGCCATAGAAACTAGGAAAAAACACACATAGGTTTTTACATTGGGCCATAGTCTAGGGAGTGTGACTCAACAGCCTCTAAGACATTTGAGATCTTACAGAGGAAAATTCTGTGCTTTGTATGCTAATACACTCAGAGGCTGGGTAAACCTGGTAGTTTCTGGGTAGCATATAACTGACATACAGCAAGACCAAATAATATTCAAAAGGTGAAACTGTAAAAGCAGTTTTGTTACTTGTTATTCAGTGGATTGAAATTTTGAGTTTTTTCAGCAGATCTGTGAAAAAGGAAAAGAGAATTGACGAGTTAATCAAAGACAAAGACCTAATTAAAGTTTTACAAACCAAAGTCTTCTTCAAAAACCCCTAACCTATGTTTTAAGCAAAACTTTAGGGTTGGATAATATTTAAATGTATAAAGAGTTTGAGATCTCCAGATACAATATTCAACTTCTACTCTTTTCTTGCACCACACTCTGAAATATGCACATAAGTTAACTGTTGTCCTAAGTCCTATGATTCATTCCAGAAATTAGAAAACAGTAACAGGAAGGTAGATTGTGAGAATGTCTCTTTGGCCAGGTTGGGTAAAGGAAGGTTAAACTAGAACACAAGTTTGACTAGCATTAAGCTCTAAAAGAGTTCTAGTGGAACTGCACAAGCATACCTGTGAATTCAGACTTTAACTTGAGATAGTGTCAGAATCTAATCAAACGATTAGAAACACAGTTCCTTTCTCCAGAGTTAAAGAGCTTGTCCTAGGCATGGAAACTCAGAAATTTTACCCTGAGCTACATTCCCTTGCCATTTTTTTTTTAAATGTTTGAGATCAGATCTTACTAAGTTGCCCATGCTTGGGAGAAATGTTAATTTCCACCTCTTGACAGTTGGGAACATAGATCTGTGCCACCTTGCTAATTTACGATTGGGATTCTTAAATCACCATGATTTACCAAGATTACAATGCTTGGGTAAAGTAAACATCACTGAGGCATGGTGATGCACACCTTTAATATCAGCCACTTGGGAAATTGAGGATTATTAAATCACCATATTCATAATAAAACACTAAATATCTCATGAACACAGTACATTGTAAATCACTGGTCGATCACATTTTGTGTCCTCTTTCTGACAGTGCAGTGACTCAATACTGCTCTCTTCCAACATGAAGAAGCACTGTACCATGTACCACTAATAGGAAAAATGAGTAAATTTCAAAATTAAAGTTAAGATTTGCACTAAATAATTTTTCATTTTCTCTACATTACTATAAACTTAACTTAGGGCCTCATGCACATTACACAAGTTAGTTTAGAGTTGCGATATACCCTAAAATACTTACTTCACATTGCAAAAAGGTCTTGCTCAGTTATCCAGGCTGTGCTTGGTGATTTAATATTCCTAAATTTCCCCAGTTCAATGCATTTCTCAGTGCGGGTTTAATAGACAGCCCCTGCAAGAAGTTATCCTTAGCAGAAACACTTTCCCCTCTGTTGGTAATATATTAACATCTCAGCATTTAAAGCTCTATGGAAACCCTCACTCAAATAGTCTTAACTGTAAAGAATAATTTATTTAATTAACTTGTAAATAAGGCACCTAGCAAAGGAAGAGCCTGATATAGTCGGGAAATTAGCCATTTTGACAAGAATTAAAATGAGAACAGAAAAGTACCTAGGACTTGGACCAAGAGTGTACTTTCTGCACAAAAGAGAATGCAGCCTCCTCCCTACTAAAAGGAACTGCAGCCACTCTCACTAAGCGCCTGAGTTTCCAGGAAGTGAAAATACAAAATATCCACTGTTTTTCTAAAATGCCAGTTTCGTTTTACCAGTGCATATTAAGGACATGGTTGAGAGAGCCTGAGTTCAAAGTGGTCGTTTTAAATCCACAGAGCTCTCTGTGACAAGTGGCCACTAAACAATTGAGCATTTACTGTCCTCTGCTTACCTATAATTAACTCTGGATAGAGAGGTCACGGGGCCCCTCACTCGGGACCCTTCTGTAAATTCTGGAGCTATTCTTGTCATTATTTCCAATAAAATCTCTAACACCCATCTTTTGGTTTGAGACCTCATTCCTCAATGTTGTTACAACACGAGCTCTGTTGATGCAATAACATCACTGCCTGAAACGGTCTCATGTAAAAATTAAAACGATGATTTTTCATTGCTGAGTATGGAACCCAGGGTTTCCCCAAAGCTCCTGCTCTCTGCGGACCGGTGCATACATCTCTGCGTGGGGCCGAACAAGAAGGTACCGTGGAGTAAGCAGCCACAGTACTGTCTGTATGCTGGGGACCCAGAACTGTCCCTGCCTGAGCAAAGGGTGAAAAGAGTCAGATCATGATGCAGCACCAAAGACTAGGATGCCCTTGGTGTCTGGAGCTAAGCAGGGAGGCTGTAAACTGCCACAACTGTTTCTGAGCACTTCCGTCCGGAACGCACCCTATTCCACCCCATCCCCACCTCCCGTTCCATAACGTCACCATTGCGTAGCTTGAGGGTCTCCCAGGATCCTTCCGATGCACCTCGCAGCCAGTAGAAGTTATAGAGAAAGGGGTCTAGTCAGCTGGGTCCTCTCAGCAAGTTACTCACAGTGCGCCCCAAGGCGCAATGACACAGGAAGTGCCCTCCTCTTCGGCCCACCTGATTGGGTAGTTCACACAGCCCGCGCCTTTAGCGCTGATTTGCTCCTGCTCTTTCGCCTGAGAGTCCAGCTGTGACAAGAGAAATAAACTTCTTCCAGCAGGGGTAGAATTCAAATGATAAATCGTTTATTCATTTATTTTTTGTGTCTTTTTGAGACAGAGTTTCTCTATGCATCTGAAGCTGCCCTTGAGCTCACTTTGTAGCCCAGGCTGGTCTTGAACTCACAGTGATCCTCCTGACCAAGGCTCCTGAATGCTGGGATTACAGGCATGGGGCACCATGCCCAGCTCAAAAGATAAATTGTAATCCAGGAAATTCTGGACCCGTCTCTTTCCCACAATGTCAATCTCACTTCGCCTGAGGAATCCTTGCATTTCAGGGTTTTACTCCTGGCGTTTCAAAACTCCTGTGGATTTCTTAATGGACTCAGTGGGCTCTACCTGAATATGGGTGAGAAATGTGCTCAGGTTTCAAGGTCTCTGTCCTACGGAAGAGTGAGTCTACTGAAGTCTGAATAAAGAGACCACAGTACACAAAGCTGATATTGCATTCTATTCATTTACTGTGAAAGCAAACTTCAGAGTATTTAAATTGTTGCAGAATCATTTAGTAGACACTACTTTATAATAATAAGTAAAACTCTGATTCTCAGGAACCCTTAATGTTATTTTTTGCATGTGATGTAGGGAGAAATACTTAAGTGAAAAAAATAATGCATAGGAAAAATTGGATCCTGGTCAAGTCACCAAAAAGAAAGCATTAAATGGAGACTGACTGGAACTGAAGTTTCTTTGTTGAAGGCATGGGCACTCAAGGATAAATATAGACATCCATGCACTGTGGATTGCTTCTTTGGTCATGTCAAAGATTTCAAACCAGTAACCCAATGTGAAATTCAATATGTCCTCTAAAGTTCATATTTGGCAACAGAATATCTAATGAGACAGAGTTGAGATAATTGAGGGTCACATGAGTGTTTTCCTCTGTCCTGAATGGAATGATTTTATTAATATGAAAATGGGGGATATTTCAGTGGGTTGGGAATCTTATAAAACAGGCCTCACTGGTGCTTTCTATTATACACATGGTCTCCTTGCATTCAACAATGTATCATGCAGAAAAAGGGTTTCACTAGATTTTCATGATATCCTCTTATCCTTTCTGGCTTTGACATTGTAAAGAATATATTTCCACTCTTTATTCATTACTCCATGTGTGATGTCCTGACAAAGGAAGGAATAATAGATTGGAACACTGATATTCTTGACTGGAATAAGAAAACATTTATTCCTATCCAAGAAGTCTGAGAAAGAACCTGTGCTGGGAGTGGGAATATGACAGCAGTTAGAGGTTGAGTGCACAGTCTACCTCCAGCTATATGGCCTTGGCAAGTTATTACATTTCTCTAGCTACTGCTTTCATCAGGAAAACCAGGGACAATCAGAATGCGCCTCAGAAGTTCCTTCGGGTGATCAAGAATCCAATGTGCAAAGTCCTCCATGGTGGAAGCATTTACTTTCTGAGTCAGTGGTTACAGGGCATTAAATACAGGCATGGCCCTTGGACACTGTGGCTAGAGGAATAATTCACACATATTTTACACCAGGCCATAAACACATAGAAGGGCAACAGAACTGAAACAGTTCCAATAAAATCTCAGGGTTTATTATGATTTGGACAGAGGAGATGATAAATAAACAGAACTACCCTTAAGTGTGGTTTAGATACAAAAACCAAAATAAACAGTAACACCAAGTAATCCCAAAATACCCAAAAGAGAAACTTTGTTAACCTAGTGAAGCAACATTGGAATTTTAACAGTTTCAGACAGACACAGAGTGGGTAAAATAGGATTTCAGGTTGTTAAGATCCAGTGGAAAAAAAACTGGTTAATAAAATGGTGAGTTTTTAATATGATGGCTTTGAAGACAAAGTCATAAACTCAGGTACTACAGCCTTGAGCCAAATGATATCCTAACGGGCTCATAGGGATTCTGATTTCTTTAGGTTGTTCAGTCTTTCTTTTCTTTTTCCTTTCTTTCTTTCTTTCTTTCTTTTTTTTTTGTACTGGGAATCAAACTCAGAACCTCATGCTTGCCAGGCAGGAACTCTGCCACTGAGCTATATCCTTGGCCATGTTCAATCTTTTTGAACTTGCATCTTACCTGTTATTGAATGGAAGTGTACAAAGCTGTGATAGGACTGCCATACCACTGCATTTTGGGAGGAGATAACTTGTGCTCTTGTACCGCAGGTACAAAGACTGAGAGAATTATGTCCAAAAAGAATGTCATGTCAATTTCTCTCCTATACTTGATTTAAATTGTTTGTATAAGGATAGGTGGTATTGGAAGAGGTGACATTCACATGGATTTTTGAAATTAGTTAATGAAAATTTTCATATGAGTAATAATGCACAATCTAACATGAGTTTTTTTTTTTTTTTTTTGAAATCTATCTTTGTTAGTATTCTTGTTGCAGAGATAAAATGTCTGATGTGAAAGTTAAGGGAGGAAAGGTTTATTTACCTCACAGTTTGCAGAGGTTTCAGTCCATAGTCAGCTGGCTCCGAAGCAGGATGGTACGGCAGAGGGGCAAGACAGAGATGAAGCAGTCCATGTTGTAGCAGGGCAGGCAGACGGTAGCAAGCAGTAGCAGAGGAAGCAGCAAGTCTGTATCTTTCTTTCATCTCATCCAGGCTACCAGCATTTTGGGTGGTGCCAACCATACCCAGGATGTGCTTCCTTTATCCCTCCCCACATCCTACCCTTACATCAAGTATCATACCTTACTCCAGCCACAGTTGCAACTTCCCATCTATGAGAATGTGAGGCTTTGGGGAGCTACCTAGATATAAGCTATAACAAAATCCCTTTCCCTGACTGCCTGGAGTTCTCCCTTCTTCCTGTCAGAGCACTGAGTTTCTATTTGGATTCTCACCTTGAGATCTGGTGGGGAAGGGTTCTGCAGCAAAAATGTGGGTTTTATTACCCAAGGATCTCTCACACTACTCCTGGTCCTTTGTTGTCCCCCATCCATTCATCATCACTATGTCACTCTTTCCTCCCCTGTGTGCCTGCAGTGGCTTTTGTACCAGGGAAGTAGGTGTCATGATCACTCTTCCTGTCCTCTATGTTTCTAGGTTATTGATCTTCATACAATATAAAAATTTCTGTGGGCCAAATATAACATGATAATATGCAGTTTTTATAGGTTTTCCTAAAATCTGAATGCTGTAAATGAGTATTTGTTTTCTTTTGAGCTTGGAGCAGGAACTGTACCTAACTTCAGAGGTCAAATTTACCCTATTACTAGCAAGAGTCAAGGGTTTGATCCAACAAAGTTAAAACTGCATCTCAATATTCATCCTTAAAACAGAAAAGACATAGAAATTATACCACAGGATGCACATAAGAAATTATCAGTGATTTCAAGGATCTCCCAGGAAGTAGAAATTAAAAAAACAACAGTGAAGAACTGGCTTCACTCCAGGTGATCGTGTGTCCTGGGAGGTGCGTGCACCCTGGCTGGATGGTGTAAGTGCACATGGGACATCACACCACGGACAGGAAATCTCAGTCCCTAAACACAGGACAGGTCAGTGATTATGCTGGTCTTGGGTTAGGAGCAGAAAAGGATAAAGAGGTGGAGGACTACTTAGCTTCACAAGATGAGCTGAATTGTAAGGTCCATGGTCACTTCACAAAGGCAGTGATTTCCGTGTGAGGACATCACCTCAGCTCTGCCTTCAGCAACCATGAATGTGAAGGGGTCGTGACTGTGAATCATTTCCTTCTGGTCCATGTATTCCTGTTTCTCAGCAAACTCATTATAGGAGAGGAACATTATTTAGTTTATGGAGTTCACATCATATTATATGCAAAATCATACTCAGATGAGTGAGCAATAATTACAGCAGTAATGAAATGCAACAAATAAATTGAGAGCTCTGGCAAAGAAAACTGAATTTTATGAAACTATGGGTATTGCAATTTAAGTATAGTTTTCTTAAGTGAAATGGATATGTGTGTGAATACATTTTTTGTGTGTATGTATGTGTGCGCATAAGGGAGAGTGAGAAGGAGAGAGAGAGAGACTTTGTAACAGAAATAAAACTAATTCTTAAGTTTCTTGGTGGAAACGCAGGCCCTAGTCCTTCTCAGCTAGCATTCACAGAAAGAGCGCACCAAGGGTCCCTGGGTGCTGTCCCAAGTCCAGTCTGGCTGCTCCTTTTTCCTCCTCCTGTGAGCTCAGGGCTTCACACAATGCCAGAGCTGATCCTCGGGACCAGTTCTCCTGAGGTGGAGGAGGACAGAGCTGCATTTTCTCAGACCACATGGAGAGGGATGTAAAAGGTTTTAGTTCCTTAAACTGAAACATTTATTTCTTCATTAGAAAATCATACTTTATGGTGATAAAATTAGCAAATACATATTCATATATGTATATTGCTATTGTTAATAATAATATAATTACTACAATTATTCCCTGCAATTTAATTCTCTGACAACTGTGGACACTCCCTTGTATCACGTGCGAGACATGAAGAGAGGACCTCATTGTAAGCCCAGACACAAACCACCTTCAGGGACACCCAGGACCAGCAAGAGGTGATGCGTGTTTATTGTTAATATTACATATTGTTTAGTGACAGAGTATCACTATGTATTCCAGGTTGGCCTTAAAGTCACAGCCATTCTCCTGCCTCCACCTCCTGAGTGCTGGTATTACAAGGGTGTACCACACCACCTGGCAATATAAATTTTAAATGATGATGATTAAAATTCCAAAGTCATCTAACTTAGGAAAATTCACAGTCCCCTTT